TAAGTAAATGAGTTCCTCTCTCTCTTCCTATCTCGGCGGCAGATATTCATCTAATAAAATTGTACTGGGGTAGGTTGGCCTGAAATTAACTTCAGCGCTGAGAGCTTTGGGTCATTTTCCGATAATTGATTTAATGCGGCACTCATTATATTCCGCCACGTGAGGACCGGGGAGAGTGTATGTCACTGGACCGGCGTGTTACTTAGTAGATATACAGCATACGGATACAATGATACCATTTTATTTTAATGAAATGAATCGTATCGGGAGGATCTGATCTCACCCCGGAGTGCGGTCTGCGGTAGATGTCTGCTGAATGACGGCACAGACACCACATTCTACGGACCTGATCTTCTGTTATCTTTATCTTCCGCCCATCTGTCTCCTCAGAAGGTAACAGTAATGCCGCGGACCCATGTACTAAAATCCGTAATCCTCATGTCTGCAGGAAAGACTGTCCCCCCAGTGGCGTCACAAGGAGGGTGCGGCCCATTCCCGGGTGTCACCATTGCAGGCGTGACACCAGTCATTTTGGTGTCATCCCTTCTAAAAAGTCGGGCACTTGGTCATGGACCGAGAGCCCGACAGTGTTAGGAGAGAGGAGGGGACCCTGGGGAATACCTCATCCCGCTGGGCGAACGTCCCCTCCTCTCTTAGCCGGCGTCCATCACTAAGATGGCCGCCGGCAGGCGTCAATCAGATGGCCGCAATCACCTCGCACGCGCGAGGTGACGTCATGCGCACGTGCGATGACAACACGGCAGGGGGTCACCCGGTCTGGAGACCGGGTGACACCCAGCACCGGGACGCCCCTGTGTCTCCCTTCAACATAACTGCCCCTTTACTTCTTCCACCACCTCCGTCCACACAGTTATTACCTTTTGTGTCACCTGTCCCTCCTACTAGAATGTGAGCTCTCACAAACCAGGCCCCCCGAGCTATACAAATCCTGTATAATAATGATATTGCACTCTAGCTTGGGACCACGTAATGCACTCCTGCCACTAGATGTCCTCAGCCCGATGTTCCAGCTCACTTCCTGGGGTGGGCGTGGCGTGGAGGGCACAAAATATAAGCAGATTGAACTCCACCTTTCAGTGCTCGTGATTCTCGGGGAGTTTTGTCATCGGATTTCCTCTCTTTGTAAACAGGAACAATAAAAAAAAAAAAAAAAAGAAGAAGAGCGAGAAGAGTAAGGGAATTCTAATGAGATGAATACCTCCGAGGAGCTCCAACAAAGTCCAAACCTGCCGCACACAAAAGGAGCCCGGAGCGGCTTTCTTCTTCCCTTGTAGATGCCGAAGGAACCAACCTGAACGTGTTTACAAGGGAGACCAAAGCTCGCCGCCTCCTTCTTATCCACACAGGAGCCGCCGTAAGTTTAATGAGCTTTATAAACACACCAATAAAGGGCAACCGCAGGCATCAAGGGACAGGAATCAGAGGCCCGCTGACTCCATTCATAGAACACCGAGCCGGAGAGTCTCTTTCATTTATCTCAGTCTTCTATGAGTCACCCCAGCCCGATCCAGCAGGCTTTTCATTGTGTTTCTTGGCAGGTTCTGCGGCTGCTTGTCACATGACTCTGTGCTTTGCCATGCCTCTTTGCTGCATGGAAGGGACTGCAGGGAAGGACGGAGGTCAGATAGAAGACTGAAGGGAAGGATGGAGGTCAGATATAAGACTGAAGGGGAGGATGGAGGTCAGATAGAAGACTGAAGAGAAGGACAGAGGTAAGATATAGGACTGAAGAGAAGGACGGAGGTCAGATAGAAGACTGAAGAGAAGGACAGAGGTAAGATATAGGACTGAAGAGAAGGAGGGAGGTCAGATAGAAGACTGAAGAGAAGGACAGAGGTAAGATATAGGACTGAAGAGAAGGAGGGAGGTCAGATAGAAGACTGAAGGGAAGGGCGGAGGTCAGATAGAAGACTGAAGGGAAGGATGGAGGTCAGATACAAGACTGAAGGGGAGGATGAAGGTCAGATATAAGACTGAAGGGAAGGGATGGAGGTCAGATACAAGACTGAAGGGATAGGGCGGAGGTCAGATACAAGACTGAAGGGAAGGATGGAGGTCAGATACAAGACTGAAGGGAAGGACGGAGGTCAGATATAAGACTGAAGGGAAAGACGGAGGTCGGATATAAGACTGAAGGGAAGGCCGGAGGTCAGATAGAAGACTGAAGGGAAAGATGGAGGTCTCATATAAGACTGAAGGGAAGGACGGAGGTCAGATGTAAGACTGAAGAGAAGGCCGGAGGTCAGATAGAAGACTGAAGGGGAGGATGGAGGTCACATATAAGACTGAAGGGAGGGACGGAGGTCAGATATAAGACTGAAGGGAAGGAGGGAGGTCAGATAGAAGACTGAAGGGAAGGACGGAGGTCCGATACAAGACTGAAGGGGAGGACGGAGGTCAGATAGAAGACTGAAGGGAAGGACGGAGGTCACATTTAAAGCCCCTTTGCCTTGCTGGCTCATGTTCCTCTCCAACCCATCGCACCACAAACCGTTAAGAGCGGAGGCCGGGATGACTCATGTAGAATTGGGTGACATCTCTATATATTCCCCCAACATCTGTCAGAGCAGCGATCAGCAAAGCGCCATTCAGCTGTAGACATGATGAAAGTGTTGGTTGTCAATGTGTCATATATATAATGAATATTGATGATCCATCTGTTGGAAGCGCCATCACTTGATGTACTGTACCCGGCCTCCAGTGGAAGATCTGCGCGGGACTCTATCATTTTTTTTTTTTATATGTATTTTACTTTCCTCTCTCTTTTTGTTGTTTTGTTATCACCTTCTTGCGTTTCATCATGTGAGGGGATAAAGGCTGATCACAGTCAGCGATTTGGCAGTTACTTATCCCAACATTAAAGGCTCTCCTCTTTTTGTCATCTGTCTTTTGATCGGCTCGGTCTGGCGGCATCAATTCATTACTCACATTTCCTTTTTTTTTTTTCTAATCCATTTATGATCCGCTACTGTTCCTCTAATTACTCGGGTTGCAAATCAGTCCCGTTAACGTTCGCCTGGATGTTGCGACTCCAAAGGCGTGTCAGATCTTTTCTATAAGACTATTAGGAGCGATGGCATTCATTATTTACATTGATGTGCGGGGAAACGTCTGTTGAGCGCAGCTGTACGGGATTCGCGGGGGTTCTTTATTCCTCCACGCAGCAGACCGATGCCACAAATTTATTAGAACATATGTGAGATGTAAATTTTACTCGCAGATTACTGGGATTTTTTTAAACAATAATTGCGGCGCAGCGAGGCTAAGTATTGCATTTTAGCTGTCTGAGGCCCCGCGCTCGCAGCAAGAAAAATGCCGAACTTTTGTCATCTTCATGAAGAGATGATTGTGTCTGTGCATTAGACTTCCATGTACTGTATATATATATACATACGTGTGCCGGGTCACATTAGTATCAGTTCCTTGCCTTTATCTTATCCATTTCATTCTCCTTTTTCTTTTTCCTTCCTTTCTCTGCTCCCACCTTCCATCCTTTCTTTCGCTCTCCATTTCTTACTTCCTTCTTTTCCTTCTTTTTTTTTTTTTTTTCTTACCTTTCTCTTCTATTTTCCGTCCTTTATTCTTTCCTCTCCTCTCATTTATTTTCCCTCATCCCTCCCATCCCCATCCTTCCTCCTTCCGTCCCTCCCTCTTTTTTTCCCTGCTTCCTTTCTTCCTTCTTTCCTTACCTTCTTCCCCATTACTCTTTTCCCTTCCTTCCATCTTGCACCTTTTCATTCCTTTCCTTATTCCTTCTTTCCTTTCCTCTCTTCTCATTTTTTTTCCTTCCTCCCTCCCTTTCTTCCTTATTTTTTTTCTTCCTTCCTTTCTTCTTCTCTCCATTTTTTTTACTTCCTTCTTTTTCCTTTCCTTCCATTTTTTTCTATTACCTTTCTCTTCTCATTTTCCTTTCTTTCTTTCTTCCTTCCTTGCTCCTCCCTTCCCTCCCTCCTTTCTTTTTTCCCTCTTTCCTTCCCTTCTCTCCCATTACTCTTTTTCCTTCCTTCCATCTTTTCCTTTTCTTTCTTTCTTGCACCTCATTCCTTTCCTTATTCCTTTCTTTTTTCCTTTACACTCTTCTAATTATTTTCCCCCCTTCCTTCCTTCCATCTTTTCTTTCCTTCTTTCTTTCTTTCTTTCTTTCTTTCTTTCTTTCTTTCTTTCTTTCTTTCTTTCTTTCCTGTCCTCTCATTTCTTCTTCCTTCCTTCTTTTCCTTCACTTCTTTTCTTGCTCCTTTCCATTCCTTCCATCTTTCCCTTGTCTTTCTTTCTTGCTTACTTTTGCTTACTTTCCTAATGTCTCCTTTCCTTCTCTACTCCTCTTTTTTTCCCTTGCTTCTCTTGCTATTTTTTCTTTCTTATTTCCTCACCTTTTTTCTACCTTGCTCCCTTCCCTCTCCTTTTTTTCATTTTTGTTTCCCTTTTTTCCTCTTCTTTCCTTTTCATTCCTTTCCTCACTCATATTTCTTTCTTCTTTCCCTTTCCTTCCTTCCTTCCTTCCTCTCTCCCTCCCTTCTTTTCCTCTGCTCTCCTTTCCCTTTCTGTATTATTTATTTTCCTTCTTTTCCTTGCTTGCTTTTTTTACTTCTTTCCATTCCTCTTTTTTCTTTCCCTTCCTTTCTTTTTTCTACCTTGCTCGCTTTCCTACAGAATCAAAAGGTTTCCCATTGAAGTCTATAGGACCAAAAAATGCTGTTATCTGCCAACAGGGGAGAAGGTCCGAACACCGGTAAGATTTTTTGTGTCCCTTTTGTGGATTTTCCCCTCACTTCCTGTCTGGTTAAGCCGTTGTCACTGGGGCATGAAATGGGGGACAATTTCTCTCTCGAAACCCAGGAGAACAATAAAGACCAGGCACTTGTTTTCTTATCATTCGTCACATTCTAAAACTGGCTTATCATTCATCACACTCTAAAAGTGTTCATTAGGTTGAACACTCTAAATGAGCCTGTACATTTATGGGTGGAAGTGAGACTTACGTAGTCATTAATGGGCAGGTCCTCCTCAGTCAGTGATCTGCCTTGACGCTTATTCTGTTTATCTTCCCTCTGATCTGTTCTGTTAGGATGCATTATAGATCCGTCTTTGACTTCTCCATCTTCAAAGTCTTGAAATTCGGGAGCTAAAAGGCAAAGTATTTTGAACCTTTTAGTGATTTCTCCTTTTAATTCATTTCATTTTAGCAAGCAAGATCTTTTCAATAAACAAAAAACTGGGGAATGGGAATTCTCAACCTACCAGTGTACAAAAGAGTCTTAGGAAATATTCATTTACCTGGAGCTAGTAGCAGTGTGGTGACCAGATTCCCCAACAGTTGCTGAACACAGTTCCTGCTTTCATTAGACAATCCTGTGTCCCCAACTATGTCCCTGGTTAAAAAGTGGAGTTACAGCCCCCGTCCGTCTGGCAGCTGCACCTGGTCTCTGCCTAGGGTTGCCAACTTTTCTTCCAGCAAATCCTGAACACTCTAGCTACACTCTAGCTATGCAAGGAAATGTTTTGGGGAGAATGAGTAGCGGCTTATTTATATGTAAATAGCGCCACCCATTAATATGTAAATATCACAGTTAAGACTATTATAAGTGGGTGGGGGGACAGGGGGGCCAGTAGCCCCTATCTTAATTTTGGTTGCCCTTGTCTGCCTGACATCTTGTGTCCAGGTTTCAGCTGCCATGAAACCTGGACACAGCATTCAGAACCCGGACTGTCTGGGTGAATCCTGGATAGGTGGCAACCCTATCTCTGCCTCTCCCTGGCTGGTAGAGCGTTGTTGATATGCCACAGCTCCACCCAGTCTTCTTCTCCCGGTTGGCCATGTGTCAATGATAAGCCAATGTGTGTCATGTGGTATTGGCGTCCCTCCGTTTGGAAATGTGTTCATGTTTTGCATTGCTGCCCAGTCTCTGCCTCCTCGAGCAGTCTCCATCACCATTATGAAGAGGATGGAGGGTATCTGCTCCACCGCCTGTCCTCTCCTGCCGCTATATACTCAAATACTGACTATGGGTACCTAGGGCCAAAGCTGCACAAGGAAAAAGAGGTAGCAAGCTGTATGGGATCCCTAATGCAGTAATGTGGTAGAACAAGGCGGATTAAGTGCATCCAAATTTGGCCTACAAAGACTTTTTGAAGATATATATACAGTATATACCCTGTTTCCCCAAAAATAAGACCTACCCCGAAAATAAGACTTAGTGCTATTTTTGGGAATTGCTAAAATATAAGACCTACCCCAAAAATAAGACCTAGTTGTGACCATTCCCAGGGCCGGTGGTGGCATAAGGGGGAACTTGAAGAGCCGCTGGAGAGAATCAGCAGTGCCAACGAAGCCAGCGCTAGAGGAAGCGAGGCGGCAGCGGAGGGAGCAGAGCCGCATAAGCCGATGCTTCCTCCATAGCGCCGGCTCCTGTCACAGGCGGAGTGATACCAAATGCACTCCCCGCCTGTAAAGGAATTTATAGTGAAAGTGCGCTTTGCTCATTCTGGCCAGCGATTGGTTACCAAATTGCTCTTGGAAAGGTACGGTACCCACTGATTGCCCTGATCACGCCTATTCTTAACTTTGCCACTCACTCCTGTCTTGTAAGTCTTCTACCGGTAATAAGTGTGGATTGTTGTACATGTATAGATACAGTATGTGTGTGTATATATGTATGTATAGATATTTTCACCACCATTTTACACTGCTAGGGCCCCATAATCCCACCAGGATATCTTCATGGGTGGCAGCTCTAGCTGCAATTAAAAGAGAACTATGGGGGTAATCTTTTTTTCCAACAGTTCTCTTTAGGGTCAAGGGAGGACATATAAAAATGTCCTCCCGTGACCCAAAACTCAGTATAAAGCGGGCTATTGCTAAGAGCGCTGCAGCCAGGACAGATCCCGAGAATATTGTCGAGAACGTAATGCAACTCTGGTGACATATTTACAGAAATCTCCTGATTTTCTCCAATGTTTTGGGATACTGATAACGCTTAATTTCTCTCCTCCCTTCCATCATACCTGTTGCAGAGGAAGGATAAATCCAGTGCACGGAAGCATTGTTACATATTTCAGAGATTCTGGAATTCCTCATGAATTCTCGGTCTTGTATTGGCTCTTGAGCAGGAACCCAGAACACAGATTGTTCATAGATGGTTGTAGTGATTTCACCTTCCTGTCATCACAAAAAACAAGAACTAGATGTGTAAAACACGAGCATATCTAAGACAATAAATAGAATTTACATACACCGCCTGTCCAAAAAAAAAAGTCACCACCTGGATTTAGCTAAGCAAATAGGTCAGAGCCTTCCATTGGATAATACTGTAGGTCTAGGTTCAGCAACGTGCTTGCCCGGGAAGCCAGCTCCATGCTAGCGGAAGTACTGGTATCAGCATTTGGTATCGGCGAGTACCTAAATATAAATATCGGTACTCATACTCAATACCGAAAAAACGGTATCAGTGCATCCCTAGCGACATTGTATAAGCTTATCGATGCCATGGTGAATGTGTGCCTGGTGACGAGGAAGCATTGAGCCAGCTTCCCGGCCAATCAGGAACCTGGGCAACATGAAATGACTCACCGCCCAGCTCCTTAATACTGGAGGTTTCCGGTATCAGGATATGCATCAGGAGCTTTCGGTGAGTACGAGTACTCGCTCAAATACTCGGTATCGGCACCAGTATCTGCTGATAGACGTGAATACCCTCTATTCTAAGAAGGCTTTACTATGCTTTATACACATAAACAAATATGGCCCCCTGTAACACCTTCACCTCCACTATCTGTATACATTACAAAGATCTTAGCAAAAATAGTTTGCTGCAGCTCTTTACCAATTTGTATTATAAGTTGTACATACTGGTGTGCTTGCCTTCATCTTTTTAAATAATCTCTCTCCTCTCTCTCTCTCCAATTCAATTCAATTCAAATAAGCTTTATTGGCAGGACCAAATACATTTAAGCATTGCCAAAGCATATGGGGAGGTTATATGGGATGTGGGTGGGGGGTGGGGGGTAGTGGGACATTATTAGGGGTAAAGAATGATATGGGGGGAATAGGTAAGTCCATTGACATTATCAGGGGTAAGGGATAATATGGAGGGGGAGTCCATGTTGGGGATTTATAAGTTTCTCTCAGTCGGTGACACTCTGTGACGTATTGTGCAGATATTTTCACCGTCGGCTCCTCTTCTCCCAGTACAATGCAGAGTTTCCTCGTCTCTTCTATAGAGGTGAAGTCCGGGATGAGAGTGGAGAGTCTCTGGAAGTGAGTGTCCCTTAGTGCTGAAGTGCCGGCAGAGAAAGGTGGGGACGTTCACCCGGTGGGATAATGTATGCCGATCGGGTTCCCTCCTCTCTCGTGCAACTGTCGGGCTCCTTGTCCACGACCGAGTGCCCTGACTTTTTAGAGGGGGTGACAACCAAAATGACTGTCCGTCACTTTGGTGCCACCTCCTCCAATGGTGTCACCTGGGTTCGGGCCGAAGCCCCCTAGTGATGCCACTGCTTCCATCTGCAAACTCTTCATTGACAGGAGAATGCATATGATGCGATAGAAAATTACTGATAATAATCCATGATTTAGCTGGCAGATAGAAAAACATTCTTACTTCCAACACAAAAGATTATAACCACTTAAAATAATTACTGTGGGGCCCTGCATTTAGATCTGTGTAGAGACGTATTGTATATATTAGATATGGTCACAATAGATAATAGAAGCTCTCTTTACCAAAGCCGTCAAAGGGTCATATATAGTCATTATAAGAACAAATCTGTATATTGATAGGGCGAGCATACCCACGTATGGACAAATTAATAAGCCATAGATGCAGTTCAACAATGTTATAGTCCTTCAAACAGCCAATCTTATATAATTAGAGATGTCAAATGTTTTCCAAGAACTATGCAGGATTCCTCAAGGATGCTTATTATCAAGAGTAGTATTAAAGACACACATCATAAATTCTGCTCAAAAGCCACAGCAATCTCCAAACTCCACTGAAAAGACTAATACCCAGTGCTTTTAATCATGCCAAAGTCAGTTTAACATACAAGAAGTAGTGATGGGCCGAACACCCCCGTGTTCGGTTTGTATTCGAAAGCCCGAACGGCCGAAAAGTTCGAATACAAACTCGAACCTAATGCAAGTCAGTGGGGGTCGAACTTTCGAAAATGATTGTCCCCTTTAAGAGAGCTTATATGCAAGTTATTTGCCATAAAAGGTGTATGGGGGTCTGTGTACTGTCCTGGGGGACATGTATGGGGGTCCGGGTACTGCCCATCTGCTGCAGCAAAACAGACATTTCTAAAAAAAAAAATAATAATTTTTTTTTACTCTTAAAGTGTGCAGTGCCCCCCCAAAGAATACCAGACCCTTTAGGTCTGGTAGGAATGTTAGGCGGGACCATTTTTTGTAAAAAAAAAAAAAGCGTAGGGTTCCCCCTAAAAGTCATACCAGACCCTTAAGGTCTGGTAGGAATATTTAGGAGGGACCCCGTGTAAAAAAAAAGTGTGTGGGGTTCCACCTAAAAGTCATACCAGGCCCTTAAAGTCTGGTGGGAATATTTAGGAGAGACCCCACCCCAAAAAATGGGGGGGAAAACGTGGGGTCCCCCCTAAAATTTCATACCAGACCCTTGATCCAAGCATAGGCCTGCCAGGGCCGGAAAGGGGGGGACGAGCGAGCACCCCCCCTCCCTCCCACAGCAGGCCACATGCCCTCGGCACTGGGAGTGTGTCCTGATGCAGATGGGGACAAGGGCCTCGTCCCCACAACCCTGACCCTTGGTTGTTGGGGTCTGTGGGCAAGGGGGCTTGTTTGCATCTGGGTACCCCTTTAATTAAGGGGGCACCCAGATGCCGCCTCCCTCCCTTGTGAATGAGTAAGGGGTACTTGTACCCCTACCCATTCACTAAAGGGTTAAATAAAATAGTTATTAAAAAGTCCAGACTTTTATAAAAATCCTTTAATTGAAAAAAAAGACATGTTTTTGTTTTGTTTTCATGTCTTTTATTTAAAAAAAAATGGATCCACCGACGTAATCCAGGGTCAATCATGGCGTCCAGCGTTGTCCACGACGACGACGAAATAAAAAATAAAACATTAAAAAATAAATATAAATAATTTGAAAAAAAAAACGACGACCGCCGTCCCGTCCGCTCCCCGCCGCATAATGGCATTTTGACAGATGCCGGCAAAACATAAACAATTGGACGGAGCTAGCGGTGAGAGTCATCATGACTTTGCACAATCATGGCTCCAAATGGATACTGAGCCCTGATTGGGCAAAGTCTTGCACCTGACCTGTACATGATAAAGCAGTTATCATGTACTCTAAGAACACAGCTCATTATATTGCATATAAATGTCACAACCAGCCACCAGCACCAGACACAGCCCTCTGTGAATATATTATAAAGGTAAACTGGTAAGTCCTGCATTTATATAATGCACAATTAACTAGAGTTCATGTAGGACATTTAGAGTTTGTAGATGGAGGTAACTGGAGTTCATGTAGAACATTTAGATCTTATAGGCTGAGGTAACAAGAGTTCAAAGACAGAAAGTCATAAACAAATTTTTCTGAGCTTGGTTTAATGAGCAATAGGTAAAATGCCAAGACAGCTGTCCTCTAACCTTGATATGAGGGAGTCTTATCAAGACAACAAAGCCCACCAAATGTTCTTGGCACAATCGAATACAAGTACTCGGGGCTCTAACCTTGATATGAGGGAGTCTTATCAAGCGAACAAGACGTCCCTAATGTTCTTGGCGCAATCAAATACAAGTACTCGGGGGGCATTACTATCTGATTTTTGGAGATAATTCCAGGTAACACATATGTTTTTATTGTTCAAATCCCTATAAAAAGGGCCTGAAAGCCCATATAATTTGAATGCACCTGAACTGCTGCTTGTTCCCGGCCGGCCAAATAAACCTACTTCTTGAATATCTGCCTGGTGTCTTTCCTAATTCATTCTACTTCAATGTCATCCCTCCAGGTCCCAATAAATCAATAACATCCACTATATATCAGTTAAAGAGTGATGCCTCATTATAATAATTTGATAAATCTCACCCAATGAGTAAACAGATTCCCCATGCAAAAAGTCACAATTTCCAGTGGATCTCGCCCCTGTTACTAGTATCCGGCCCATAAAGTGATGTCTGAAATAATATAGATCCATCAAGCAAGCAAGTGTGCCAGGTGGGCCCATGTAGTCTAGCTGATGCATTTCATCATGTGCAGACTTCCTCAGAGGTTTGGTTCTCTCCTCAGCCGAGCCTTGGTGGATTTTATCTGGACCCTGCCTGAAGGAAGCCATATGGGCTTGTCTGTAATGTTCTCCTTGTATCCTACTGAGCACTTTGTGCAGCATATGCGGTTAGCCGCAAGGTGCTTTACAGGTGCAGGGCTGCGGTCCATTCAGTGGAGCCTTGCCTCTGAAGACCCCTCTAGGGGGGTTATGCGCACTCAGAGGATCAGATGAGAAAAAAAGTAATAATAATAGCCCATTGAAAGATAAAATAAAAAAATGCAGCTTTTGCTACAAAGTTCCCTGTTATTAGGTGCTGTCACCTGCACTACTTCTCTTCCACCACTAGATGTCCTCAGTCTTGTTGGTTGAATGACGACCTGAATTACTCAACCCATTTCCCTTGAGTGTCAAGGACCCGCCTCAAACCTTTGACTGGACAGCAGTACACTGATGAGCTAATCTCTCTGCCACTTTGCTGTCTCCTCCATCAGCATACTCCTGCTTCTCTTTTGCCCAATCTGACCTTTGCTGTACCTTGACTGCAAGATGCTGATGCCAAGTCCCATTCAGGTATATGCAGTATACTGCTTGCATTTATAATAAATACATTGAATGATGTACTAATTTAAATAGAGCTGTGTCTTTTATATCACCCTAGACCTCAGCTTTAGTACAATTAGGATATGTAACACCCCACTACGTCAAGTAATAGCAGCATGAGCCATAATAGAATCTAAATAGGCACTTTGTACATCTATTGGTACCCAGAGTAAATACAGTAATGGATCCAGTGTACTGATCCAAACACAGGAGGGATTTTTTTTGTCTCTGGACAGTCTCCCGGGGGATTTTGTTTTACCTTTCTCTGGACCAAAATGGCAGGACTTGTCACGATCAGTGGTGTAA